TTTTTTTTTTTTTTTAATCCATTCAATTGTGTCTGATTCTTCAGAGACTGCCTGGACAAGTCCTGACCAGCAACTAATTCCTATCCCCGCAGAAAGTGCCACCAGCGTTTCCTCCCACCGAAATAATAATAATAATAAAAATAAAGTACACAATAAATGTAATGCGCTTGAATCATCCTGAAACCACCACCACCCAATCCGTGGAAAAACTGTCTTCCACGAAACCGGTCCCTGGTGCCAAAAAGGTTGAGGACCGCTGCTCTACATGGTTATTCAGCAGTAACTCAAACTATATATAACTAGATTATTTAGGGATGCACACTAACCCTAAACAAAGAATTAGAGGCTACTTTCATCAAACATTAAATGCTATCTCATCAGAAACATATTTTAATATATTGATAACATTTCACTTTCCATACTATCTCAAGAAGACAAAATTTATAAGCCAAATTCAAACAAGGAAACCCTGAATTGAAAGCAGATTTTTTAATACATGCGCACATGCACGCACACACACACACGCTTCCTGCACAACTTATGGTGATCGCAAAAATCCAAATAAAATAGGATTACTAGAGTAACCCCCAAAAGCCTAAAGCTTCTTATGAACATTCTAAGAACACGTCTTAATGCAAGAAACAATCCTCTACACAGACCCTCTATCTTTTTCCCTCATTAAAAGAGTTTAGTACTAAGAATTATTCTACATACTGGAAGATACAAAGTATGTGAAAGGAAAAATGATGATAGCTGAGCTAAGCAGATCACTCCCACTGTCTCAGTCATCTTTTCTGGGCCCGTTAGAGAACAACAGCAATGCCAATACAACCATAAAAATGCTTAGAAGGCAAATATATGTTGGTAACAAGGAAAAGGGATACTTGGAGGAGAGGAAAGCTATGAGAAGCAATGACAAGGGAAGTACAGGTGGTCCTCATTTAACAACCACTCATTCAGCGATCATTCAAACTTATGATGGTGCTGAATGACTGATAGTTACGACTGATCCTCAGAATTCCAGCCATCACAAGCAAAGTCAGTGGGGAAGCTGGTAGGAAGTCGGAAGTTGCGGTCACATGAGGTCCTCACTTATTAACGGCAACCTTAGTTGTCTTTTGGTTTACTTAAGATATTTTGGAGGGATTTTGTTGGTTACACAGCTCCTCTTGGGTATCTTCCTCAGCAGAGGAAACAACAGTAAATTAGAAACCCAAGTTTATCGGAAGACAACCCACACTAATCAAGTACTCCATTACTAA